TTACTCTGATGTACAAAGTCAGCCTGCCTTGGGTACGATACATAATTATAGCATAACAAAGCATAGTTTACATTCAGTGTTATTTCTGAGTCCATGCGTCTCTCCATATCCAAATAAATGTTTTGAAATATAATGGGTGAATATTGGTCACAAAAAAGTGCAGTACAGTAATGCACTGTAGGAACGCTAACCATGAATCTTATTCCTTTTATAGCTGCTGAGCTCCAAAGCATCCTGGAGCCCTTCCTGCTCCGTAGAGTCAAATCTCAGGTGGCCGTCGATCTGCCCAAGAAAACCGAGCTGGTGGTTTATCACGGCATGTCCGCTCTGCAGAAGAAATACTACAAAGCTGTTCTGATGAAGGATCTGGGTGAGACTTGGGCGCTATGGTGTGCTGTGTCATTTATAAATGCATTTTCTCTGCAGTACTTACCCTGCCTCTTTACTTATAGCATTAGTATGAAAGCACCAGCTCAGCTTATCACTGATTTTTACAGTTGGCATAACAGACACTAAATCCTGACTTCTCTCTATCAGTTCTCTCTATTTTAGAGTTGGTTTTAAGGTTTTACTCATCACCTTAAAGTACTTCTGGGTCTGGTCTCCAGTTGTGTAGGAGAAATGTGCTATTTTTTTGTCTGTTCCAAAGTCAATGAATAAACCTGAAGGTGATCAAGGCACGAATATCCTGAGCTCTCATGGTTGCTTCATAGCTTTTATTATTAGTTTACTAGTTTTACTAGGGATGTTGCTGGCAACTAATTTCTTAGTCAACTAAACGAGGAACAAAAATGAGACTAACCAACTAGTCTACATCTAAGAAACACTCGGGTATTAAGTTACATTTGAGAACCATCAAAAACTCATAACAAAGGCATTTTGTTATGAGTTTTAGGACACAATAATTTACCAGCATTGGGCATCAATTAAAATTTTAACAGTTAGATTGGTAAGTCTGGTACTGTTTAGTGACAGCAGCAATGATTAGTTAGCTAGTGGACACATCCCTAGTATTTACTAATATGACTGACCTTTTGCTTTGCATTTTTGCATCCTTGTTTCATGTCTCATAACTTTACACTGATTTTGTTGTTGTCTGATTTTGGCGTTTTCCACTTTGTAGACTGTTTTTAAAGGTGCCAAGTGGAAATAATAGTTCTAATAGTATCTGTTTAGTGGCATCAGTCATTTGTAAATTCAATCTGCTTCTAAAACTCTTCTTTCAGAGGCTTTTGGAAATGACCAAGGCAGCAAGACTCGGTTGCTGAACATCTTGATGAACCTGAGGAAGTGCGTTGACCACCCTTACCTGTTTGACGGTGAGAGCTGATGTAAAAAAGACTGGCTTTAGTTCTCTCTACTAGAGGAAAGACCTGAGGCGTAGGTGTGTTTCCAGTGGGATAGGATAAAGACGCTTCCGTTACATTCTATGTTTGTGTGTCTGTTTCTTGGATAGGAGTTGAGCCAGAGCCGTTTGAGATGGGGGAACATCTCATTGAAGCCAGTGGAAAACTTTGTCTTCTGGACAGCATGCTGACATTCCTCCACAAAGGGTTTGCTGATGTGTTATTTGGCTCCACCTGGTGGTTTAGTGCGGCATTGCTGTAATGCTGTGATATTCTAAGTCACATATTCATCTTTAAATTGAGTCTTACAATATTTGTGTTTTCATATCTGTGGTCGAAGGGGCCATCGGATCCTGCTGTTCTCTCAGATGACGAGGATGCTCGATATTCTCCAGGACTACATGGAGTACAGAGGTGAGTGAGAGTGAACATGAGGGGTTATTGTTCATTGACTTACTATTAATCGTTCTTAATGGCATGAATTAATTAGTAATTATTCTCATTCTTCATAATGGCAAACTTGAAAACCATTTGATTTATTCTTAGTTATAAATAAATGCTGAATTCAGCTTTTCTGTTCAGGTTACAGCTACGAACGTCTGGATGGGTCAGTCCGAGGGGAGGAACGAAACCTAGCAGTGAAAAACTTCAGCAGCAAAGATGTCTTCGTCTTTCTGCTCAGCACTAAAGCCGGTAAATAAAGC